TCCAGACGCGGTGGGTGGTCGGGGGGTAGTGAGCAGGGTAGTAGGGAGTGGTGAAGGTGCCGCTCTCCCCCTTCAGGGTCCCGCCGCACGCTGGCGGATGAGCAGGAAGGTGGGAACAGGTTAGGGATTCCAGGAGCCATCCCAAGGCTCGGCCGGCTGCTGCGCGGGGCAGGGAGGGAGGCAACAGCCTCCGACAGGGTTAAGTTAAGGCCCCCCCCTCACCTTTCATCTTTGGGAGCTGGAAGAACTCGGCCTTAAAGCCAGGGTATCTCCCCTCCTTGTTGGTGACCAGCGCGACCAGCATGACGTTCTGGGCGGACAAGAAGGTCAGGTTGTAGGTAGGGGCGTAATTCCCACAGAGCCTGAGAAAAACAAGGGAGAAGGAATGCACAAAATCCATTAAAAACCACAGAGAGAGCCCAGGCCAGCACGGATGAGCCCCGAGCAGCGACACGAGCTCCATTTGCAGGAGGAGTTTCCTCCCTGCCGCCTCGCACTCGGTGTCACGCAGGAACCCAACGGGGAGCCAGCAGGAAGCTCTCTCCCTCCTACCTCACGTCCCGAGGGAGAAGGCCGGCCGGGAGGAGGGGGCCTCACCTCACCATGGCGTCGTGCTCCACGGGGCTCAGCGAGTTGTACACCTTGACGTAGTCGCTGCGGTCCGTGCACTGCTCCAGGTCGAGCGTCTTGAAGGTCAGGCTGATGACGTGGTTGGCGTCGGCCCGCAGGGCCCAGTAGCAGAGCGCGTTGTTGGGGTAGGGCCTGTTGGGGAAGCCCGGCGTGGTGAAGCTGGTGACCTCCCCTTCCTTGGCGTGCAGGGCGAAGATGCAGCTATCTGCCCGGGAGAAGGGCCGACGGTTAACGGGGCAGGGGAGGAGGAGGAGGAGCCCTTCCTCCCCAGGGGAAGCAGCGGAGGACAGATGAGGACGGACCGAGGAATCGCACTTACTGTCTCGGGCGGAACGAGCTATCTGGGGGTCAACAGCTGCGGGAGGAAACAGAGGGGCCGTGAGCCCTGGGGGCCACTGCCCAGGCCCCTCGCATCACCCGCCCCGTCTCGGCCCCGCAGCGCTCACGGAAAGCGACGACCTCCGCCACCCTGAGCGCGGGGTTGCGCAGCCGCGGGTTCAGCCTCTGCACCAGGTTCTGCTTCTCGGACATGGCCTGGTCGAGCGCCTGCTCCCGGTACGCGGGCACCACGAACTCCGACCAGTAGTAGGCAATGACGCTGCCCTCGCTGCGGGGAGGAGCGAGCAGGAGGTGAGAGCAAGCGGCGCCCGGGGGCCCAGGCTTCTCGAAAAGCCTTTTTAGAGGGTGCCCACGGGGAAGGGAGGAGCTGATCCATGCAGGCACAGTCCAGGAAAGGGAGTCCATGGCAGCGTGAGGCTCCCGGCATCGCCCTCCTCCGCTCCCGCGCGCGGCCTGTGCTCACCTGAACGCGGTGATCGCTGTCTCCTTGTGGTAGGGCCCAATGTCAGCGTGACTGCGGTAGATGTCCTCCACCTGCAAGGAGTTTAGAGCATGGAAAACGGGAAAGCCAGGGTGCGCCAGGGCTGCAGGAACACGCACAGGCCAAAGGGGAGAGGTGGAAAGTCACCCAAGTCACCAGCTCTTACAAACCAGAAGGGGACAGGGAGGGACTCAGAGGTGTGAGGAAGGCCCCAGTCACCTCATACGCAGTCACAGGGTGAAAGAAACAGCCAGGCCACAGCACGGGGGGGACATGCGAAGCGTCTTACCGTGCTCTTCACCTTCCTGGCGAGCACGGCGAACTCCGGCGAGCTGGAGTTCTCGTAGGCGTCCAGGAACTCCCAGTTGAGGATCCGCAAGTTGCCGTTGAAAGCCTTGCGGACGGGCGCGTTCCTGACTGGAAGGGACCATGGCTGTCAGGACGAGTCCCCCGCGACACGGAGGGCAACAGCGACCTCACACTCACATTTGAAGTGCCAAACCAGGAGGCCCACGACGAGGGAGACGAGGAGGGAGACGACGAGCGCGATGCCGACGACGACGCAGCGCTTGGGGCCGCGCTTCTCCATCTTCTTGGAGTTCATGGCGGGGAGGAACTCCACGCCTTCCTCCAGGTTATTCATGTCCTAGGAGAGCAGAGGGAGCAGAGCCGTGAACGGGGCAGCCCTAAACGGCGCTTCGGTGAATTAAGAAGAGGGAGTTAAAGCAGCAGCCTAAGGAGAGAGCAGATCTATCTGTCAAACGCAACTCCCATCGGGCGGCCTCGGAGCGTCACGGAGTGTCCCGGTGCCGGCAGCACCGCGGTCATCCCCAACAGGATCCTTCCAAAAAGGTGCCCAAATTCAGGGTGTTCAAACACAGACCCAGGCAACAAACTGGCCTCACTGCTTCCTTCCCCGGCTCCCTTTGCCTTTGCTCCCACCTGCCTGGACTTCTCCTCCTTTAAGGATGGGCCTGGAGCCCTTTACAACAGCCAGGGAGGCTCCCAACGCCCCATTTGCGAAGGACTTTGCAAACTTAATCCTCTGCCAACACTTAATAAAAGGCCATCAAGACTAGAGGGGCACAAGAGCCTTCACATCCTTTAAAATAACCCCAACCAAGGAAACTTCAGAAATTGTTGCTTCAAAGTCAGGATTGCCTTAATTTCAACCTCCCACCTCTGAACACTCAAAAGAACTATGTGGCTCCCATCGCTTTCCAGAGCACACAAGACATTCCAGGGCTTGGGATCCTCCTTATCCGGCCGGGAAAAGGGAATAATCCAGCTGCCAGCATCTCCCACCTCCCGCTGTGGCAGAGCCAGGGCTCCCCGTGGCCTCCACCAAGTCGCTGCTGTTTGCAAAAGAAAGGTGTTTAATTTGCCCCTAACACCTGCAGCCAGGAAACAGCCCGAGGGCTTCCTCGATGAATCTGTTCACAAAGCAGCAGCTTTTCCAGACTTTCCAGCTGCCGGCTCGGAGATGTGCCTGTGTTTTTCCCAAGAAACAGTCTGGGGATGGCAGCATGAAGTGGAAGCACCTAATTCCGGGAGACACGAGTTCCCGTTTTCCCCGGCTGCGGCTGCTCTGGGGCTCTGCAGATCCTGCAGGTTGTGTCTTTGCAAAGAGAAAGCTCCTGGGCAGGAGCAATTAATGTGATGAAAGAGGAAGGAAAGCCGAGCTGCCCTCCCCCGTCTGACATGCAAACACGCAGCCTGTGGCTTCGGCGGCACCGAAGGAAGTTAGGCAAGAAACCCCACCAAAAGCCACCCCTTCTGCCGAGAATCGGCCGCTCCGGGCAGAACGGGAAGCAAAATCTCAAACCCGAGGCTGTTCCCAACACGGCGCTGTCGGGTTGCCCTCGTTCCAGCAGCGGCATCGCGGGGTGATTAAGGGAGTGTGGAGACTCTTTGGAGCTGCTGATTATTATTATTATTACCCCGATGTAAGTGCACGAGCAGCCGCAGAGGCCGTGCTGCTTGCCAGGAGCTGCCCAGCGGTCAGCGGGGAATAGGAGAGGTTTCTTTCCTTGTTCTCCGCTCTGAATTCCGCACCGTCTCCCTCCCTGATCCCTCGGATGCAGCGCTGCATTCCCAGCTCCTCCGCAGGCGTTCGATGACGCGTATCGCCAGCGTGTATCCCTCCAAGAAAGGCAGGGGATCCGGAGCATCCCCCAGGGACCGCGGGAATGTTCAAGGGAATTACGCCAGGAAGAGGCCCCGGCTGCAGCATCGGCCCCGCGTCGCCCTGCCGGCACTTCCCGAAACGAGGCAGAAACCAGAAGGGACAAAAAAAGCAAGAAGTGGCCAAAAGATACGAGTTTCAGCAAGAAATTGCCCACCGGGAGTTTCTCTCCTCCAGCTGTGAGTTTGCAGGCGCGTTTCCCTTTTCCCAACTACCAACGCACGGACATCAAGGAGAAGATCCGGACACGTGCCCTGCCCTCCCCTCATCCGTGACTCTCCAGGAACCAGTCACCAGCGTGACTCAAGGTCTGGGCCTCCCGTCCTTCTCAGGGAAACTATTTCCAATAAACATTAAGAAGCGAAAAACCTCCCCTCATGTTCTCCCTCTATTAGTCACAGGCTCAGCTACTTCCTCGTGCTCCTCTTCCCGCCATCCATCAGCTCGGGGATCTCTCTCCCGGAGGAAGGGAGGTTTCGGGTTGGAGCATCCCGGGGGGAAATTCCCGCTCAAGTGAAAGGATGAAGAAGGCACCAGCCACCCCGCAGCGAATGGACAAGGAGACGGGACAACCGGCACCAGCCTCCCGCTCTGTTTTACCCCAGCGCTTCTGAGAGGACCAAAGGGAGCCTCTTCCCCACCAAGAAGTGCCTGGGATTCTGGAAAACACCGGAGAGGGGAGCTGGGAAAGGAGGGTGCACGCACAGATGGCCGCAGCGCTCGGGGGTCTCCCGCGCGCGGCTCCTCGGGGCGAACCCTGCGTGCAAACAAGCCTGGCCCAGACACACCGCGTATTTTTAGACGGGCTGATCTGCCCGACTGGCCAAACCAGAAGCTGCAGAAGTGACTAATTCCGTCACCAGGAAAGGCAGCAGCTACACGGGGGTGGTGGGAACTGCCACGGCGGACGCGGGGCTGGAAACGCTTTACTGGAAAGCAGGAATCTCCTCCAGGGACAGAGGGCTCCTCGGGATGGAGGTTTCTGGGGCCGCTCCCTTGGGGAGCACTGTGACTTAAGCAACATTTTGCACCAACACGGACAGTAAAGCCTTGAAGAGACTTTGCCAGCGCTGTATTTTTCTGCCTCAGTTCCTTATTAAGGGCAACGGGGCTATAAAACGCCGACATCTGACCTGCAGAGGGAATACGGAGCAGGAAACGGGACGCCCAGGCCCGCTGTCCCGGCACAGAGGGCGTGCGCGAGAGGGAGAGCTCCACGTCCCACACCTATCCCACGTCTTCGGCTCCGTTCCCCACGGCCTTCGATCACCCTGTGACCGTCCTGAGTCATCGGAGAAACCGAAATCCATTATGTTTATTACAGAAAGAACCGAGTTAATGTTTGCACGGGCCCGGCCCGCTCCTGTTTGCGTTTCCGTCGCAGCCGAAACCTTCGCATAAATGGCCTCGCGATTCCGGGTGGGAGGACACGGGAATTAAACCCACCACGAGCTAACGCTTCACCGCGCTCAACAGGCAGCAGCAACTGTCTTAGCCCAAGCACATCTTTGGGTGGGCAAATCCAGAATTATTCCCAAGCTGGACTCACAAACCAGGTGCCTCCGGCCAGCTCCCTTTGGGGGCAGCGCGAGCGCCCTGGGACCAACCTGTTCCGAGGAGCCCTCCCCTTCGCTCCGGACGCGGATCAGACACGGCAGGACCTTTCCTTGCAGGGCTGGAGCCCTTTGGGAAGGGCCGGTTCCCCCGCGGGCCGCGCGGGAACCTTTGCTCCGACTCGTTCCCCGCGGCCGGGCGCTCCGGGCGCTCCCTTTGTTCCCTCGGGAGCCGGGTTTTGTTTGCAGAGCAAAGGTCCCCGCTCGCCGGCGGCCCCAGCCCCTCGCGCGCGAAGCTTCCTGATTCCTGCTC